TTTTTTTTTTTTTTTTTTTTTTTTCCAGCCTTGAAACAGAGTTTCTCATCCACCATTGGGACATAGGCCTCCTTGATCAATTATTTTTTTGATACAAGGGATTTTAGTCTAATTCCCTTGGTGACAAGCCATTACTGGGGAATGGTTATGAAAGAGTTTTCCTTCTCTATAAGGGGCATGCAATCTGCATGGCACATCAGACTAGTGAGGTGTTAGTAGTCTATTGATGTGACTGACCCAATTGTAGTCTTTTTGATTTCCGGTAGAATTAATTTCCACCTCTGCTACAATTGGTGTGGCTTGGTAGGATGTTAAATTCACGTTTCAACTCAACTTATCTGCTTATCTATTCTATTCAAACTTTTTTTTTTTTTTTTTTTCCTGCCTCGACTGGGAATCGAACCTGTGTTCCGTGGTTTGAAAGGCAGTGTTCGATTCCACTCGGCCACCAAGCCACTAGGTACGCGAATACGTACAGGTATTCGTATATCGAGTCAGCACTCACTACCGGATGCCATTCGAACGCGAGTCAAATATCGCGTTACGAAATCGCGTCCGATATTCTTTTCGCTCTCGCCCTCGCTAATTGATACTAATGGATGGCGAGCGACTGACGACTGACGTGCCGAGTACGTAGTACGTACACACGATACAATTACAGGTAGTACATACGAATATCATTTTGCCCAAGTCGAGCGATCTTTCGAGGTCGACACGTCACGTCACGTCACGTCACGTCACGTCACGTCGCGTCGTATCCGTTACCGTTACACCCGCAAATAATCGTCCCTTCGATTTCGCTAAAATTTTCACGCTCTACTCGGACGCGCAAAATCGATAGATCGGTTTTCAACGCCATTCGTTCGACTATTATTCGCGTAATAGAACGTACACGTACGTATGTGTATTACGTACTCGTATTATCATAACGGCGGTGAATTCGGAAAAGGGGAACCCCGAAAAACGAGCCAATCGGATACGGTATTTCGGTGCTCGCGCCAATCGGCAAACAGTTTGCATACGTAATCCGTAATCTCGCGCACATTTTGTCGTCTTCCGCAGACTCGGCCGATTATTTCCCATCCGATCCGACTAATATTCGCGTTCGCCGTTTTCCAAAGATTTCATTTTTTTCAATTTACGGAAAATTTACCGCGCACCACTCTAAACGTAAATAACGCTCGAGTCTTTCGTAACTGCGGAGCGAGCGTTTCTATTTCTTTTTCTTTTTCGGTTTTCTTTTCACTCTCGAAATAAGGAAAATAATCCGCTGCACGGCCGTCGTGTCGCGTCGTCGCCTACAAATCTAGCTTTTCGCGACAATTTTCCTTCCAGACTGGACTCGACTCCCGAGACCTACACGTATAAAGCCGCAACCACACTATTTCTTCGTTTCCACAATTTTTCCCCATTCGCAGTTTCCACTTGGATTTGCGAATAGTACGGACGGAGTGATTTTCTCGTCGAAACTGTTTCCGCGAAAAAGAGTTTTCTCATTTAATCGAGTTTTTCGTCCGAAGCCGTTTTTTGACAAAACACGAAGATTTTTGTGGAAAAAATTTTTTTCACCGAAAGAAACACGAAACAAAGTGGAAATAGGAATAACGCGGGACAATTTTCTCCCTAATTAATGGAAACGCGAAAAAGAGTTGGAAAGTGGGAACGAGGAAACGCGAAAATTTTTATTTTATTTTATTTTAAGAATTTTATTCGAGACCCCACCCGGCAGGCAAAAGAAATAGCGTGGATCCGGCTAGAATCGATCGACTATCGATACGATACGATACGTCGCGTCGCGTATTCTCATTCTCATTCTTTACGAGCGCGTTCATTTTTATCGGACCGCGGTGACCAGAAGTGACGGACAATTTTGTCGGAAAGTGTACTCGTATAATCGTCTCACTTTCAGCCGGATCGACGCGAACGTACGTGTATTTGCAGCTCCAACAGTGCCAATAAACTAACCGTCCGAGATAAGGTCGCGAGTCGCGACAACGTTTACACATACGTGTACGAGTATATCGCGTCTATCGGGAGGAACATTTTTTGGCGCGAGAATCCGTCGATCCGGTTTACGGTCGAAATCTCGCGCGACTATTCGACGGCCGCGCGAATGTCGACCCCAATTTACCTACTCGACTACTCGTAATCCGTAATCGATACTCGACCCCTTTCGGAACGCAAATTCGAAAATACGGTACGACGATCGTATAGTACGAGTATACTTTCGAATAGATCGGCCAATAGGCTGACTCGAGTAGACGCTTTTACTTACGACCAAAAAGTTGGCGTATTTACGCGTAGGCGCCATTTCGAGCTAATTTTTTCCGAGTAGGTACTCGGTGCGTAGATAGCGCCTTAATTATTATTACACGTAGATACCGTAGAATCGGGCGAATAAGCGCGAAAGCCGTGCGAAACGAAAATAAAGACGGCGCGGCGACCACTTCGTTCGAGTTAGACACATACACATACTCGTAGATACGTACATAACCCCGACGGCGAAAAATAATAGCCGACCCTTAGGGAACCGCCTCTTCACTCTCCACTTCTATCGCATCTTACGCGAGCTTTTCGAGTGCTTATGCCAATTCCAATTCCAATTCCAATTTCAATTCCGCTTCGAGTGGATGACCGAGCACCGCGCTCTCTCCACGCGGCTACTTGGCGAACCTCTCGTCGAAATACGCGCCGAGTAGCCGCTTATCGGCCGTTCTCGTTACGAGTCCGAGTATCGACGAGTTTGGTGCTCGAAGCGGATTGTACGAATACGAATTACCACCTATACGAGCCGAGCGAGATAATACGCGTGGATCGCTTCGAATTTGTTTTCAGAAATCGTCTGAAAAGCGATACGAAGAAGCGCGGAGGAAAAGATGAGAGTGGCGATCGGGTATTTGGTGGCTGCGCTGGTCGTGACCAGTCGAACGTTCGGTCGGCTGCGCAGAGCTCCGACGATAGAGCAGCGCCAGTGACGGCAGCAGCGGCGGTGACCGTGGCGGCGGCGGCGGCGGCCGAAAAAGTCGACGACGGCGCGAATAAGACGAGCGTCGCGGTCGAAAAGATCGCAGCGTATTCGGCGCCGGCGCCGACCTTCGTATCTCGTAAGTCGAGCCGAATATTATATGTAGATACGGATACTC